TAGAGCTCGCTGATGTCCCGGTGACATTGAGCCCACCCACGCCGATTAGTCTCGAATTTGATTATTCTTGCTCGCTAGCTGCAGTCTGCTCTCTACCGCTTGACCTTTTCGTTCTCGCATCAACTACAATCGTTCATTATCCCAGCTTCCCAGACTCCATCCAATCACATCGGTCATCATGCTGCTGCCGCGGCTTTCCTCGCTTCTGTGCCTCGCTGGCCTAGCTTCCCTCCCGGTAACAAGCGCCTACAACGGCGACGAGAATATCAAGAGCATTCCAGTACGAAGACCATTTCTCCATGAATGCGCAAATGCATCTCGGATCCGCTAACCTGGACTCTACCAGCTCCGAACTCACAGTCTTGCTCCGGTTGGTCCTCGCCCCGCACCTCCTCGACCTCTGCTCGAACTTCAATCCGAACATCGTAGTTGACTTTGCATAGCCATACCTGGATTCGGACTTCCAAAGCCGCTGGTTCGATTTTGGTGGCGATACAATCATCCGCGCTGACAAGTATGTGACCAAAGCCCCCACAATACTCGTTTGGAGATGGGGAGAACCTTGCGCTAACTGGGCTAGGTACATTCGCCTGACATCGGATCGACCATCGCAGCAGGGATGGATCTTCTCTCGGGTTCCTCTTACCGCAACGAATTGGGAGGTTAGTGGTGGACTTTCATGTGAGGGGAGGACTTGACAATCTGACGTGTGACCCAGATCGAGGTTGAGTTCAAGATCCACGGCGAAGGAAACTTGCACGGCGACGGGTTTGCCATGTGGCTCACCAAGCAGCGCGCAACCCAGGGCCCTGTCTTCGGGTCGACGGACAACTTCGAAGGACTGGGTATCTTCTTCGACACATACAAGAACAACCGTCCCGGAACGTCATTCCCCTACGTCATGGCCATGATGGGTGACGGGAAGACGTCTTACGACCAGGCCCATGACGGAAAGGCCAACGAAGTCGCTGGCTGTTCGGTGAGTCTACCCTAATTTTCTCCGCGTCAATCTCTTTTGCGCTTACAAGGTTGATGACAGGCTCGTGGTCTGCGCGGCGCTTCAATTCCTACCAAGGCGCGCTTGACATACTTCCAGGACAAGTCTCTGACCCTAGACTTGCAGTACAAGTCTGATGACACCTGGACCAACTGCTTCACCCTGAACGCCCCCGAGACCAATATCGCCATCCCTGCCGTTTCCTACCTGGGCTTCTCTGCCGAAACTGGAGAACTGAGCGACCACCACGACATCATCTCCGTCAAGTCTCAGAACCTGTACAGCATCGGAGGCGGCGCCGCCGCCGGCTCCGGCCGTGGCCCAGCGAACAACGGCAGACAAGACCGGGCCCACGTGAAGGTGCCCAAGGAGAAGGGAGGCTGGGGTTGGTTCCTGTTCAAGGTTATGCTGTTCCTTGCTGCCGTCGTCGGTGCGTATGTCGGTTTCACCATGTACCGGACCAAGCAGCGTTACTCGCGATTTTAGTTGGAAGGACGAAAGCACGAAAAATGCAAAATGAAAATTACAAAAATGTGTCTACGGAGTCAGATTTTGTTTCTGATTTTTTACGCAATTGCATAGCCGTGTCATATATGTCTAGTTGCGGGTTTCTACAGTCGTTTTGATGAAGCAAGAAATTGATGAGCTATTTCCTGAGAGCCTGGCCATGGAATGGAAATAATAGGAATAAAATGTAATTGCGATGAGTACTATGGACTGCAGGGTATCATGCTATCAGAAACGCCGAGAAAAATGCTGCTCTAAACTTTCATCTTGTCACGTTGAAAGGATTTCCCAGCAGTCTACGACTGCTTCGTCCTCGTTTCATTCCACATATGATCGACGATCTGGAAGACCTCGGTCACACTAGCCATCACACTTTCATCGATCCCCAGCGCACCATATCGATGCTGGATCTTATCCGGATGCCAGCGTATCCGCTCAGACTTGAGCACCGCAAGCAGGCCAGCCGTGCTGTCCGCCCGGTCATCGTCTCCCACGCCAGAAACATCCACCGGCGCATGGCGCATAAAGTCCTCCACCGCTTCGCGCGAAACATCCCTCCGTTTCCCCGACTCCACCGGCCAAAAGACCAGATTCCGGAACGGCCTGCGCTCGCCCGCGCCCACGTTTACTTCTTGATTCACCTCCTCCCAGGTACGCCGATACTCGTCCCAGACCGTCTTCCACGCCTTGAGGTGCCGTCGCTCCCGGCCGCGCTGCAGACTCTCCTCCATGGCGCGCTCGAACCGCATCCTCTCGCGCTGGCTCTCTGCGCTTTCCTCCTCGCGTCGCTTCTGCCGCGCTCGTTCGGCGCGCAGGCGCTCCTGCTCCTCCACCATCCCCTCCCGCGTCCGCGCCCACATCCGACTGCGCACGTACGCCGCGTACTCCTCCTCGGACATCTGCTCTAGCTCACCGTCCGGACCCTTGGGGACGGATGGGACTGGGTACTTGTGGATTGGCTGGCCGTACACGGACTCCCAATATGCGGCGCCTTCATCGTCGCCGAGGGCGTCGAAGAGGGACTCGCGGAAGGCGGCATCGGGGGAGAGGCGGGATGGGTTATCTTGGGGGTTGGGCGAGGGCGAGCGCCTAGATCTGTGTCGTTTGGAGGAGCGATGGTGGCGGTGGGAATGGCGGTGATGGCGATGGTGGTGAGTGGTGTCGTATGGTTCGTCTCGGTGAGATTTGGATCTGGATTTGGATTTTGAGGATTTGAAGCGGAATTTGCCTGTGGCTGGGCGGGTGTATTCGTTTTCTGCGCTAGGAGCCTCTGGCGATGCCTGCGGTTCTGGACCATCTTCTGCGGCAGTGGCTGTGTCCATGGCGTAGTTTCATTATAAGGTGTGCATGGATAGCAGGCTATGTTGAATTGTGTTGTGCATTTGCTGAGATGAGAGGGGATTCTGACGAGCATGGTGGAATGAGCTGAAGACGATAGCCATTTCTCTTCTCAAATGCCAATATGTGATTAGTCATCCTTATCTTATCTGATCATCAGCTGTCCCTCATGCTTATGATGTCATTGCAGTAATATGTTTTGGGATGAGAACAAAAGGCACGACAGGTTAGTCCGTCTGGTCAGCAGTCCAGAAGCTATGATCAGGATCTTTTAAATTATATTCTCGGACTGCTGCTGCTTGCGTGCGAAGCTACTCTGGCGATAAGAGTAAGTTGATATCCTGAATCGGTGGCTAGAACTGATCGCCTGGACCTAATCAATGTGAGCAACCCAATTGTACTTGCCTGAGTCAGATGCGAATTTAACTAAGCTTACTGAAGCCGCAGTGGTTAGCAGGGTTAGGAGGTAATATGCCCTTGAACCGTGCCTAGCAAGATAGGGCAGCAAGATGAAATAGCAATGGTGCTGTAAATATGACACCATATATTTCAGGCATCAACGATTTTCAATAGTGCACGTGCGGAACTGTCTATCATGACCGCCCTATCGTCATCTTTCCTCAACGCATTTCTAAATTCTTATCAAGACAGCATCCAGCCAACCCAACCAAAATGGCTCTCGTATCGTACTCAGACTCTGAAGCTTCAGACTCAGAGCAAGAAACCAAAGTCACTCAACCATCAAACAAAAGTCCAGCTCCCACGCCTGCCAATCTGCCCAATCCCTCCTCCGGCGCAAACTTCGTCGTCGACCGCAGTAACCCCCGCAAGATCCGCGTTGCTCTGCCGGATATCAAACCGGAGAACCCTACCGCAGATGGTGAAGACGAGCCAGCCCGGAAAAGGGTCAAAATAGGCGGAGGTGGGACATTTTCGGGTTTCAATGCTCTTTTACCGCCTCCGAAGAGGACCAACGTCACGGCCGAGAAGGATAGGATGGCGGCTGCGCCTGCTCGGAAGGTCTTCAGCTTGAAGACGGGCGCAACTCCAGGTTTTGACCGTGAGGCTGATGCGGAGTTTCGGAGGGAACAGGCGTTCGATAGCTTGGCGGGCGATGGCGATGATGACACGATACCTAAGCCGGGGAGTCTTCGGAGTGAGCAGCCTGGCGACAACAAGGCCGTGACGGCTCAGGGAGACAGAGAGAAGGAAGAGGAGGTCAAGCTGAAGGGGAATCCGATGATGTTCAAGCCGTTGTCCGTGGGGCGGGCGTCGCAGAAGAAAAAGAAGCAACCGGCAAAACCTGCCTCGTCGTTTCCTTTGCCAACCGCGAACGAGACAACAGCTTCGCAACCCTCGCGAGCGTCCAATGAACTACCGGCTGCACAGCCAACGCCGCCCGTCCCTCAGAAACCGAAAATCAGTCTGTTCTCCCTGTCCACAGAAGGATCTACAACCTCGAGTATTCCCAAGCCGCTAGCACAAGCCGCTACCTACGAGCCATTGGTGTACACCACCGACCTAGAAGCCACCCCGGCTGGCCCAGAGCCGGAGCCTGAAACGGCAACGGGCCCCTCACAGCCACCCGCCGATCAAACATTGGATAACATCGCAGACGATCTCAATTTGTCCCGGGCCCAACGGCGACAGCTCTTTGGACGCAATGCCGACTCTTCCAAATCTCGAATTCTGCACTTCAATACCGACAAGGAATACATTGCCAACCAGGAGTTGGCCCATCAGACAGACCTTGCTGCTGCTCAGCACAATCCTGTTCGCGCCATTGCCCCAGGCAAACACACTCTGCAGCAGCTGGTCAACGCGGCCAGCACCCAACGGGAGGCTTTGGAGGAGAGCTTTGCCGCTGGACGAAGGAACAAAAAGGAAGCCGGGTCGAAGTATGGATGGTGAACTTCATGTCCTCTCTTTTTATTTGTGTTATGCAAGTCTCTCTTGAAGTAGTCTATAGATACCAATATATCCGCGATTTTATTGTTCAGACTGAAAGAGTTATATTTTGATCTCGTCTGAGATGTTCTAAATAAAGACCTAAACCCGCTTCGAAAGTCATCAACTATGCATGAGATGCTATCTTTACAAATGAAATCAACCATATAAACAAAATGTCCAGCCTCTTTTATCTACCATAACCATAATCTCAAGATGATACATCAACAACCTCTGCAAACCATTGTTTCAACGCCGTAGCCAGCACAGCCGGTAACTCCCGAACGTCCCGCACAACCAGGTAGTATGGGAAGGGGAACCCCTCCAGGTATCTCTTCATCTTCAACTTCATCTCCCCAGTTCCACTCTCCGTATCAGGCTCGAAGCTTGCCTGGCTGAGGTCCAAAATTGAGCTGCCCTTAACCGCATCCACGATGATGAACACGATCATGATGCGCTCCTCTTGAGCTTGACGCACAAGGCGCCGGATGGTATCATGATCTTCGCAGATACCGTCGGATATGATGAGCTCCAGTTGCCACAGGTCGGCGTTGCCGCCTGCGGGCGATTGTTTCCAGCGAGCTTCGCGGAAGAGGGCGATAGAATCGGCGATCAGTTTGCGCACGTTCGTGCCTGTCTGCTGGTAGCTGAAATGTTGGAATACTTGTGTTCCAGCTTCCGAGGAGAAAGGCTTGCCGAACTCGTGGGCGACTCGGACGTGATCCTCGTTACCGAAGCCGAGCACACACAGGTCGCCTACTTCGAGCATCGACAGACTCTTCGCGACTAGCGCTAGTGTCTCGAACGCTAACTGCCCGCTGCCGCTCTCCAGCATGGACTTGCTGTCATCGACCGCAAGCATGATTTGGTAGTTGCGCTTGGAGGGAATGGACCGTCGCATCCAGATCTTGTCACGCTTGTACTGTGAAGCGATGTATGGAATGATACGCTTGATATTCAGCCGCTTCCCTGTCCGGAAATCGCCCCGTAGCTTTGTAGCAAGTGTGGGGGCCAGGATTAGACGTAGTTGCTCCGTCAAGGATAGAGAGAGGTCGTTTGTGGCATTTTCGTAGCGCGACCAAAGGCGCTGGGCTTCGTCCCTTGGAGTTAGTGGCGGAAGCGTGGACGACAGGTGAATTGCCGCAAGATGGGCGTCCACCTCATCAAGCTCCTCGTTAACCTCAAGTTGACCAGTAGCGTCCGTTGTTCGCTGCTGTGTGCGGGAGCTGTCGGGGATCAATGCGCCTGCGGTTTGCCCTTCGGTAGGAACCCCTTCTCCATCTATCTGCATGTCGTCCTCCAATCTATTCTCCTCCGCAAGATCTTGCGGCTCCTCACCAGCGTCCGGTAACATATCACTATCGCCAGGTTTGACGTCTGACTCCACGCCCTTGTTCTGGTCCAAAGCCTTTGCTTGTTCTTCACTGGCCTGTCCCAGTGCCTGTGTATCGGCAACATCATTTTGGTCCGCAAGGTGCTCGAAATCAGCATCGGCCATATCGGTATCCTCCGGCAAGGGTTTCCGCGACTCATCATCATCCTCCTGCTTGGAAGCGTCCATAATCTCTTTTCTCCTCCGATGCCATTCATCAAGAACATCTCCCAACTTCTTGAACGCCTGTAATTGAGGATCTTCGGGGCTCACGTCATCAGCACCGCCTGCATCTCTCTTGCGTTGGCTGTCCTCTCCTTCCTTGGCACCTCCAGTTGGCTGTTCCGCATTCGCGGCCGGATCGGTCGAGCCATCGTCCTGCTGAGCATTGCCGGACGCGCCTTGCTCTTTGTTTTGGTCTTGATCTGCGCCAAGACCACTGTTAACAGCTTCGCTAGGAGCAACCTCCTCGCCAGCAGCTTCATTGTCATCATGTTGAGCCAAGAACTCTTCTTGCTTAGCCTCCTCTGGTTCTTCCTCCTCCGCTGCATTGGCCTCGTCGGTTCCCTCAGCCTCGGCCACTTGGTCCTCCATGGCTTCTTCATCCATCTGGTCAGGCTCCTGCTCGTCTGCTAGATGATCCATATCTGGACTTTCAGCATTGTCCTCATTTCCTTCAGCTTGTTGCTCGTCCTCCGCAGGTGCAGGACCGAAATCTGACATATCGTCCATTCCATCGTCACTTTCGACACCGTCATCTTCCTTTTCCTCGCCGTCCAGTTGCATCTCCTCAGGTAGGTCAAGCGCCTCTTCTTCCTTGGCATGAGGGTCCGTCACTTCCATATCCTCTCGTCCAACAGCCTCGCCTTCATCCTCAGGGGCTTCTTCGTCTGATTCGTTCTCTTCTTCCTCGCCCTCCTGTTCTGCATCCTTGTCACTCTTCTCTTGAGTCTTTTCTTCCTCCTGCGCTGCTGTTTTCTCATCGGATCCAGCTGCTCCCTTGCCTTGTTCGTTCTCTGTCTCTTTCTGCTTCTCATCATGGTCGCCATCCCACATCTTCTCATCCACTGCCGTGTCGTCGATGTCGTTGACGCTGCCTACTTCCTCATCAATATCGTCTTCTCCTTCCGAGCCAGTGGCATCCTCATCTTCTTCGTCCTTCGCCTCTCGATCGATCTCTTCGCCTTGCATTTCTTCATGATCCATGTTCACTGCCTCCGCAGAATCCTCCATGTCCTCGGAGGGCTTCTCATTCTGTTCTTGCTGAGCAAGCTCAGACAAGTCCTCGTCGTCCCCGACGTCTTTGCTAATATCTTCAGCGCCTTCACCCTCGCCAAGGCCGGTTCCACTTTCCAACTTTCCAGACTTGCTCTCTTCTGCAGATGCCTCCGCCGGGGTACAGAAACCTTCCGAGGCTATCTGCGTGAATGATTTCGCGAGAATGTACGTCATTTTGCAAGTCTCCCTGTGCACCGACACAAACCGCTGAATGATGTCTCTGCAGATGTAGAAGTATCGGTTTGTGATGGGTAGTAAGCTCGCCACCAATGCAGAGGCAAGCGCATAAGTGTTGCTGGTGCTGGCTTGCAAATGTTGCAGGGTGTCGAGGACGGATTCGAGAGAGGAAGTAACATCAGACAAGTGAACAGCCTTCATTGCCCTCGTGAAGAACTCATCACTCCGCGACAGCGAGCCCGTGGAGGCAAGGGAAACAGGCACGTCTTTAAGTTTCTGAAGACTGACCAAGATCTTGTCAATTGCAGCAAGGAGTCTTGCGTCAAATTCCTGGATAGCGAGACTATCCTCGCTGTCGGTCCTAGCAGTCGCATCTCCCTTGGCCTCCGCCCATGGGGTAATTTGTGTTAATGCGAAAGCCAAATCAGGACGTTCAGCGGTCCATTTTGAGACATCAGCCTTCAAGCTCGCAAGAGAAGACGATACCTCTTCCAGGACATCCTTATAACGCCGAGAAGTCAGGCCAGAAGGTAACTCTGGAATATTGTCTAGTGATGACTTCAACCGACTAAACGTGGATCTCCAAGCGCGCAGGCCATCAGAAACCGTTGAGGTATCGACTTCGGAGAACTTGGCATGTAGTTGCACGATTTCCGCAGCGAGGTCAAGTATGGGAGTAAGCCATGCCACAGCTCTCCTGAGGTCTTGTCTGTCCTTCGAGAGATCCGAATGAGACTTGCAGAGGGAAGCAGGTCCAGAAGTCCAGAGATTAGACATCTTGATAATCGTTGACTTCAACTTTTCCAAATGCGACATTGCCGGAGAAATGACCCCGCGCTGCTTCCTTATCAAGATCATCAAATGCTCCACGGTGCCTACGCTCCTTGAGATCTCGACATTACTGAGATCTTCAGAGTACTCGCGAGACGCTTGACGCACGCGAGGCAGGAGATCCAAGAATCGGTGGAAGTAGAGTTCGGAGCCCTTGATGAGATGCGATGCCGAGCTCCCGACTTCCAAACTTGGGGTAGTAGCGAGAACCTGAGCAATGGAAGATTGGCTCTCAATCAAGTTAGTGCTTGCATTGCGTTTGATACCCATTTCCAGGAGCCGTTTCAATGTGTCTGCATAGAAACGACGCTTCTGGACCTTGAGATGCTGGACATCATCCTTGTTGTCCTCAGTCAGCACTTTAGGAGTCTGTGATTTAAATTCCGTGATGCTCTCAATGAAGAATTTGACGAAGCTGTCGAGATCCTCTGAGACGTCAAACTCATTAGGCATTGAAGAATACAAATCGGTCATGTTCCCTGCTGTACTATCCGCATTTCGGAATCTGGGTGGTCTGCTCGGCCATATTGTAGGTTCTTCCTGGCACAAAGCGAGAGCATCGGGGAAGCTTGTCGAGGCCAAAATGATCTCATCGGCGGCAATGTTCGGTTCATCCGGTTCGTTTGACATTCCCTGCTGTAGAATCGGCTGCACAGGCTGTGCCAAAACTTCACGATACTTTCGAACGAGTTTGAACAATCTGAAGTGTGATCGCCGGGCACTTTCCCTGAGCGCAATGATGTTTGTATCCTTCCAGCTAGCCAGCTGAATCTGTTGCTTGATGTCCTTCTCAATGGCGGTTCTGCGGTCTTCCATGGACTTGTGCACTGCAGGCTCGAACGGTCTGAAGTGTTCGAGGAAATTGCCCAATGCAGATACGAGTTGTTCCAGAACTGGGTAATCAAGAACATAAAGTGCAAGCAGTGACCGGAAATTAGCCACAAGCCTGAGTCGTTCACTGTATTGCCCGACAGTTGTCGACATGAAGAACTGTTCCAGCGTAGAGATGACGCCTTCAATATGGTCGCTCAACTCGGCTTCACCAGATGCTGCGAGCTGAATGGGGGCTGCAATGATTGCTTCGTAAGCAACGAACCACCATGAGCTCACATCTTGAGCACACTTCTCCTTTTCTAGATCGAGCAGCTTGGCCCAAGTTGACAGTTCAAGTCGGCGCCAGCTGATGATCAGATTGGTGATCTCGTCGTAATGAGAAGCTGCCGAATACTCTCTGCTTGCCACAAGCTGCCATTCATAAACAAGGGCATGGAGCTTCTCTACTTTTGTAAGAAACTTTGCGACGGGTTCCGTATGTTTGAATTGAAGCACTTCTTTGCAGCAGATAATAACGTCCTGAAGTACTGCATGCTCCGGCCAGGCCTGCTGGATCTGAAGGAAACGGGACTTGACGGAGAGCGTCAGAGAGACTAGTCTTCTCGCTTCAGAGAAATTTGCATCGGTGTAGAAGTTATATTTGCCGGATGGACTGCGATCTCCGCCGTGCATGGCATCCTCAAGAAGTAAAAGAGCTCCTGAAAGATGTTCGCTTGGGCGAATATGAGACTTCGATGAATCGCCTGCAGACCATATGGACCCCAGCAGCCTGGCAGACTGCTTGACATAATCCGACAAGGCTGTCTTAGTATCTTCAGATTGGAAGAGCTCAGCGTGCAGTGTAGCGAGCCGGACCGAAACAGCCTTTGGATCAATCCGGGTGACTTTCCCATCATCTCCAGCTGTGTCAACTTCGTAAGTAGGGAAAAGCTGGTTCAACTCATTCTCGTCGACCTCCTCCTCATCTTCCCATGAGCCTCGATAACGGTACAACTCGGATTTGCGCGCTTCTTCCTCTTGATCCTCACGGAGCTTGGCTTTCCATAAGATATGGAATTGTTCGAGTATCCGGTGAAGCGCATGGCGCCCAGATTCGCTATGAAGGACATCCGGATCTGTATTAGCGGCAACTCTGATGGAAGATAGTTCATGGAAACGCAATTCAACAAAATGAGCTTGGTTCGCTGGTGACGTTTGGCTTTCCAACGCTGAAACAGGATAGACAGTGCCTCCAAGGAATGGTGTCCTCTTGCTGACTGCCTGCAAGATCCGAGAGTCACTAGACTGTTGGGTTTGGCCGGACTGAAGGGAAAGCCCCAGATCAAGGATTTCAAGGAATCGGACGACAAGCACAGTAATATCATCGTAAGATCTGTAATTTGCGCTCAAACGCTGCGTGAGCTGCCGGATATTCTCGCGAAGCAGAGTCAGCATTCTTTCTGCTTCGGAGTCATTTCTTTTCACTGCGGTTACATCGAGTTCGATGCACCTGTTCAAAACAGAGTAGAGCAAGCTCGAGAATTCTCCCTGCAAGATACTGATCTCAGAGACCGGCGGCCGAGTAACTTGAGACGGAGGCGGGGCGGAGCCCAAGCTTCGTAGTTCTTGCTGTATAATTTCCTGCCGCATGTTGGAAGATCGCCCAGAGAAGCTCTGCTCAAACACAGCTAAAGCTTCGGATTTTGTTGTCAGCTCTATGACACGCTGTGTGTGCCTTCGCCTCTGCACGGTCAGACTGAGAGAGGGATCGAACGGTTTATCAGGCACGAACAATCGCAGCAGTAGACTGGCCAGCTGAACCACCGCCAATCCAGTTTCCTCGATGTACCTTTCTGTATGCTTGGGGCCCGTCATCAACGAAGCGATCAATCGTGGAACGGCGTCCTTGACGATTGGTTCAAAGTAATGATCTTCAGACAAGCTCGGATCCAATTCGACCGTTGGCAGATGCGATGCATTGCACCACCCTTGTTCTTGGACCTCGCGAAGCGAAGTCAGAACGCTCCCGAGAGATTTTGGCTCAATGAATTCCTTGTGCATGGTGAGGAGTTCAGCGACGAGCGCCGATAAGACCTTTCTAAGAAGTTGATACTGGTCCATGAAGATCTCGCGCGACGTCAGAGTTACGGCTTTGGAAAGAGTTCGCTTTTCCACTTCCAAGCTATCCATCTGGCCCAGATTGGTTGTGCCGACGAACGTCAGCTTCTCTAACAGTGATAGAGAGAAAATGCCAGTGATCGCGGAGCCCGACATGGAGGACCGGTTAGACCCTGCAAACAGAGAGAGTTTATGGAGAACACCAGGAATTTGACTTTGAAGACTTGATGTGTCGAGGGGCCGCGCTTGACGACCAGCCAACAATGGTAGAATCGAACTGACTACTGAATCAGATTTATCTTCAATATGCTGTATCGACGACAGATCGTGGTATTGGCACAAGGCTTCAAATTCTCTCATGAAGTATGGCGACTGAGCCGAATCAGAAGTCTGCACCGCCTTTGCCAATTCCATCACGGTCTGCTTAAGTGCCTCAACCAGCTGTCCTTCGTCGGCACCGTCCAACAGGATGGTTCTCTGAGCGTCCACAAGGGAATTGCGTACCCGGCTCAGCTGGGCTAAATCCAGATGGGTCTTAAGAGCAAGGTCCATAAATTCGGCTGCCACTTTCTCGAGGTCCAACTTCGACATCAGCTGCTCCTGAGTGGCGGGAGTGGCTGGCCGCCAGGATTCCCATAGCCTTTGCATGCTGAGTCCAGTCTTCAATGCCCAGTTCTCCTGGAAACGACCCAGACACTGAGACAATGCTAGAGCTACGGACTTCAGTGGTGGCCAGGAATCGAGCAAGGAAATGAACAGCTCCTTTCCAATTTGCAGATAGACTTGGAATTCGCCTTCATCAACTTGACCATCTCCAGAGATTCTGAGAAGATCAGCACAAAAGCTGACAACAGCACGAAGAGCATGCACAGCCTGAGGAGTATCAAGCACTTGGCGGTCTAAGCTTTGTATGAAATCATAGACCGCTTGCCCGCAGTCAGCGAGGAACGAGCCGATAGGTTGCGTTGCATCCTTCATCAGTGAAGCTATCCGTCTTGATGCTAGGGATCTCTCCAGAGAGCTCATCTGGCTCGGTTTGAGGAGTTTGGCTGATTCATCAGCACGCAACAAGCTTTGTCTTAGGCGATGGAGATTGAGCTTGCACTCTTGTAGATGACCCAAAACCATGAGCCGCGATATGGTCACATGTTTTCCCAGAATCAAAGCGAGCGGCTCATTCACGAGAGGATGTAGAGGCTGGAATTGGCCATGAACGGCAAAGGAAGCACCGCTCAAGTTGACGGCTTGCGCTTTGCAAGAAGTAGAAGGCTCCCAGGAGGAATCTTCGAGGACAACAGGCACATATCGGTCTAGCATCGAGGGCAAAGTCTCTCCCGTGGAGAAGTCGAACAAGCCCGCCGATGTCATTTCTGAGGATTGTTGGATAGTTCTCAGATCCTCGACCGAGAGATGGTCTATACCCAATTCACAGAGGAGCCGCGGAAGCTCGCCTCTATCCTGAAGCTGATTGAAGTCCCAGATATGCCTCAGGCGGTAAAGGCACGATTGATAGGTGTAAGCAGGGATGGATCTGTTGGCTGATTTGGGAGTCTCCGAAGGTAGAAAGCAAACCTCGACACATCGATTTCGCATTGCACGAGACAACTCCCCGTGACGAGGATCCATCGTCAGGAAGAGGCGGAAGTTCGGATGGGGTCTGACAATTCTTGCAAAGCCATCTTCGGTACGTTGCTCATTGAGTATCAAAGCTCCATTGGGTTCGGTCAAGGAGTTCAGCCTATCGAGGACTGAAGGGTTGCACAGGTTGGCATTATCAAGAACAACCCAATGCCCCTGCTGGACAGCTTGCGTGAGGACACCTTCCGTCCATTCAAAACCAACCTTCATTTTATTGGACTGCTTAGAGAGTTCCATTAAGTGCTGCGCTCTCTGAAGGAAGTCTCCAAGGGCCTCTTGAGGATGAAGCTGCATCAAGACAGGGAGGGATGAACACAAAAAATCCAGCGAGATATCTGAGCTCTGTAACCGTTCAAATACCTCGAGGAAGGCTGAAAATGCGTCTGACTTCTCGGTCGCTGAGGATGCAGAAATCAGATGGCGGCGAAGGTACAGCGAAAGCTCATGTACAAGAGATGAAACCTCCCGCTTGTAGTCAATCTGCTCGAATCCTCCAATCAAATCCATTGTGTCTGTGTCAGCGCTCAGGGCCAATTCAACTAAATCGGCACCGTTCAACGCAGCAAGTTTTCTTATCAGAGCGGTCTTGCCACAGCCTGATGGACCCACCAAGATGCTCGGCCATGACTGCTCTATGCAAAGCATGAGAGACTCCATGATCGGCAGGTCACCCGGGAATATCTTCATCTGCGGCTCAGGAATTTGCTGAAGAAGAGCATCCCTACGCATCACTCCAAACCCGACTTGGAAATACTCTTGGGTAAGGTTGTGGTAAAGGCTTTTGGCAACAGTCGGAGCATCCTTAAAGACGCGTTGATAGAGCTGAGAAACCAACTGCCTATCTTCTTCACTCCTGAATCTCTGGGAAATGACGACATCAAGGAAATTGTTTGCTGGTACTTGAAGATCGCCTCGATCTGCAAGCTGGAGCCACCTTTGAATATCACGCAAGTTGACCTCCCACGGTCCACCAACAGCCCCTAGCCTGCGTTCCTGGTTGATGGCCACATTTAAGAGAGAAACAAAGTCCACCAACCCATCGGTTTGCGAAGGGGGACTACCAGGGAATAATTTCGCGCAGATTTTTTTTAAGTCGGTCTGGGTGAAACTATCTGCATATACCACGGTGAAACGATTAACAAAGGATGCGGGAAGTCCCTTTCTTCCGCCACCTTGATGATGGGGATTCTGTGCGGCAAAGAGGACAAAATCCGGGTGTCTGCTGAAAGTCTGGTCAAGTTCAGCCACATAAACCGTCTGACGGTGGTCCAGGCAAGAGTTCAACCCTTCAAGGACGGACTGGGACGCCAAATTCATTTCGTCCAGCAGAACCCAGTCACCGCGCTGCATGGCTTGCAGGAATGGTGCATCACGCCAGGTGAACTGACCGACATCGCCGCCCTCTACAGGCACATCAGATCCAAAAAGATCAGTGAGGTCTGTCTGTTCAGAAAGGTTGATACGGGTGAGTGGCTTCCCAAGGGCTCGAGCAAGCGCAGTAACAAGGGTTGTTTTGCCAACACCTGGGCTACCCTCAAGGAGAATAGGCTTTGGCAGTTGCAGGCCGCGTGCGATTCTGACCGAATTGGCAATCGTAGTAGGGGCATCCATAATGAATTGCGGATCAGGTGCTGCATCCCCATTGATAGGTAGGTCAAAAGGTCCTACACGCAGCGCGTGATCTTCCAGCTCAATTGTCGACTTTTGGAAGTAAATGCTGGAAGCATCAACGTGGAAGAGTTCACGAAGCTTTTCAAGACAAAACTGGCGGTTCTTCTCAAGATCGTGCAACGAAGCAGCGAGCATTGCAGCAGGGTTAGCACCAAGGGTATCCACGAACACCATTGCCGCACCCTGAACGATTGAGAATTTGAGACCTGTCGTTTGACACTTGTTCACAAAGTCTACCCAAGCGAGGAGATCTCGGATAGAGAGGGACGTAATCGATGAACTCTGGAAGGTTGTCTTGAACCATTTCGCAAACAGTAACATGGCTTTGGGGAGATCCTCTGACTCCGTTCGGAGTTTCATTCTAAGAATGGGCAAGATATCATTATCCTCTGAGAGCTGAGGGGCCCAGATTTCAGTCATGCGATTTCGGAGAGCAGCTGAAAGCTCGCGTTTGCCGTAATCTCCTCCAGGATTCATGGTCGAAAGGAACTGGAATCCCTCGTGCGCGACGACCATCGAATCAATAGGGCCTTTTTCCGCCAGAAGTATCGACCTGTGCGGTTCAAGAACACTGTTGAGTCTCTCTAATACCGAGTCATCAGCGAGAGAAATCTCGTCAAGAAGGAAAAATTGTCCAGTCTTCATGGCTGTTATAAGGCTACCGTCAGACCATTCGAAGAGGGCGTTCAAGCGAGCAATGTTCTTCTGAATCCGTCGAACTATTTCAGAATCGCATGCTTCCAATTGTTCAACGGTCATAGCACTGAAAATGCTCCTCAGCTCGTCAAGAGATTTCAGCTCAGCGTCGCCTGTGTTGACAACGGTTCGAAGATCATGAAGTAGTTGTATCTCGATGGCCGCTCTGTTCCTAACCGGTCTTTGAGCTCCTATTAGGTCCCCAGTTTCCAAATTCACATGGGCATTGACGATGAACAATTGCTTCCTACAAATTTCTGCAACTGCCTGGCAAAGTTGCGTCTTGCCGCATCCAGTTTCTCCAACGAGAAGAACGGGTTCGTTGTTCTCAAGCGCTACTGAGACCAGGACGAAGAGACGTCGCATGGCTTTTGTCCAAACAATGCCAGGCGCCAATTCCTTCAGATTAGGAGCGCGCTTTTCCAATTCAGCAGCACTGTAGATTGTGTCTTCATCAATGGGAACTTTCATGACCTCCTCAATGACTGCCTTGACAGCCGCCCTTTCTTGTGGATTGCGGACGCGTTCTGCAAGCAGCATAAAGCCATTGATGGCTAGCTGTTCACGATCGTCTGCCCGGCGCAGAGCCCATCGGAACAAATCACGTAGAGTGGCAAAGCTGTTTTTCTGTTCAAATAGCCGGTTCGCTTGGCGGAGAAGGGAAAGCTTTCGATAAACAGACACAATCCTGGTGCAGAATGATGGCGCAATCTGTGACCGCTCTTTCAAGATGAACTCCAACTCGCTCTCTGGGATATCGTCGAAATGCAACTCGAGAAATCGATTTCGAAACGCGCGAGACAGTACTTTCCGGCCTCCATACAAGCCAGCCGGGTTCTGTGTCGCGAACAACATGAAATTCGGATGCGGGTGAACGACTTCCTGTGTCTCGGGTATGAATAGTTCGCGGTTGTCGTCTAGAAGTCTGTTCAATGCTTCCAAGACGTCCGATGGTGCAAGATTAAGTTCGTCAAGAACGATCCAATATCCGTTCCTCAGTGCTTCAACCAGCACACCTTCCTGGTAACGCAAAGTTCCATCATCACCAGAGACATAGGAACCAAGATACTCCTGCAAATCGGTGTGTTCATGATTGTTGATTCTAACGAACTTGTTCCCCGATACTTTGGCAAGATACTCTATCATGCTCGTTTTACCCGCTGAGGTAGGACCCTGCAACAACACTGGGAACCGACGGATGGAGCTCGCTCGAACGAGATTCTTGAGATTCTTCTCGATGAAAGGAGTAATGATATAATGGGGTTGTGCCTCTGGGACCATGTGGCCCTGGCGCATCCAATAATGTTTAAACTGCACGTAAGCATTTCCATCATTCGGTGGCTTGGGCGTTTGTCCTAGTAGTGCCCTAGCATTCTTCGCATTGCCAAAGACATACCGCTCAAGAAGAGGCAAGAGTAGCCGCTCGGATTCTTGGCTTAGAACGGTCAAGAAACTCATACAGTAGCCCTCAAAGATCGCCCGGCGCAAACCATATATATGGGCATTTTCGAGGACATATATGAGTGCACGAACGAGGGTTCGAATACTAAAATGAGGCCGTTGTCCAGCTCCGTCAGTGAGTTTGTTCTCGTTGCTGAGTTTCTTGGTCTCCATGTAAAGCTGCGCTAGGTCCGACACGACCCTCGAGTCGCCTATTGTTAGGTCACCCAGGTATTTCTGAATCAAAGCGAGCAAATCGTCCAGGTCGGTATCGGGAGATTGTACATATACTTCCGTGAAACGAGATCTGAGTCCAGGAGGAAGATCTTTCTTTCCAGCGTCAGTTGCGGGATTCATGGCACCGAATATGCGAAAATCAGGATGGCCAAAAACCCGTTCCACATCGCCAGCTTCGGATAGCAGAACAGAAGGAGAACCTTCGCTACCATGATGCAGAAGACTGGCGATATTCTCGAGAGTATCTGGGGAGGCTAGATTGACCTCATCAAGCAGGACCCATTCTCCATTGCGAAGTGCACGAACGATTTTGCCCTGGACGAAGGCGAAAGCGAACTTGGCGTCACCTTGCGAAACTTGAGCCTCAAAATCGTTCAGTTGCGCTGCAAATCTCTCCCATCTCAGTCGTAGCTGCTGGTACTTGGGCGAATCCAGTTTTCTCTTCTTCGTCGGCTGCTGCTCCTCCTCACCGGCCCGACTCTGCTTGTTTGGTTTAAACACACCATCGGCAAGCCGAACGGCTTCATGCCAAAAATTGACCAAACGCACCCAGTTTCCCGCAGCAACACTTTTCGAAACAGAAGACAAGAATTTCTGGTTCTTCTTTGCAGAGAACGTCAATTCAAAGAGAGTGTTAAATTCATCGAGCATAGGGACAGCCATGGTACGGATATTGACAGGCTTGAAGCCACCCAGCAGATCAGTACTTTCGCTCTGCTGCGACAAGTTCACTACCGTGAGCTTCTGCCGCATCAAATTTGCAAGCTGTTGGACGACTGTGGTTTTCCCAATGCCGGTCTCTCCGACGAGAAGAACAGGCTCGGCCATTTGCACAGCGGCAGCAACCTGTTCCATCAGCTTCAAGGCCGCTCGAGTCGATGCAAAGCGCGAGGAAGCAGCTGCAAGCTTTGAAGCTGATCCACTGGGTACTTTATTCTTTCGACAGATCTCCCTTCCAAGGGTCACGCTGTTTCCATGGTCTGAATAGGCTGGCGTCCGTTCATGAAGACAGAATTGCGCCCGTTGTGGCGATATCTGGAGCGCTTCGGCGACAACCAATGCAAGCGAGTCCGCCAAAGTTTTTTCGGGAATGTATCTAAGGAAAACATCCACAACGTCCAGAAATATCTCATCCTCGACAGCTTCGGGCGTCGCTTCATAGCCAGTCTTGACCCCCAGTCGCTGCAGTCGCATATGCAATCTGCTGCAAAGCTTGATCAGATCGCGAAGACCCGGGGTCCTTCCTTGGGAGCTTTTAATGGCAAGGCTTCCGTGGAATGAGGAGCAGACCCTTTCGTAGACATCCATGATAACGGGAACGCGAGATTCAAGAAGAGGGAATTTGCGGATGATCACCTCTCGAATTTCTTCTATGGAAAGCGAGTCTATCTGCACTCTCTGCCACAATCTGCTTCCCAACAGATTGGTGTTTGGCGCAATCTCTTCGCCCGCAATATTATAGGTTGACTTCATGGTTGCAATGATCTTGAAACCCTCGGCGCACTTGATGCGTTCCTTTCTACTAGCTATGGTCAACTCGCCCTTCTCAATGATGGGCAATATGAGACCGATGACTTCAGATGGAGCACGATCAAGATCCTCGATCAAAATCCAGCGACCTTCCCTTGCAGCCTTGGTCAAGACACCCGGCTGCCAAGCAAAGGAACCTGTAGCCGGGGATGTTGAGTACATTCCGAGGAGACTCTTCGCGTCTGTTTGTTCGTTCAGATGAAGTGTAACCATAGACTCTAGCTGTCCCATTGTCGCAGCGACGTCGTTGACCAAAGTTGTCTTGCCCGAGTTTGGTAGCCCAACGAGTAGGATGGGCTCAGGCGCGAGTAATGCTTTCGCAATCTTCCGTAGATTGCCCACAGCGGTTGGGGTTCTCACAATCGAGGAGGAGGGTGAACTTGGGGATTCATGCAGTCGTGGAATCAACACACCACAGACCTCAGCTGTTCGCACAGTAAAGTACTCTCGCAACGGTTCGGCAAGTAGAAAACTGTCCGACATTTGTCGAATCGATCTGACTTGCTCAATCTGCTTCTCGAGGGTCTTCCACCGACGCTCTTCCCACAAACCAAGGCAGCGGTAATCGATCGCCACGCCTTCCCATTGTCCTTCAATTGGACCATCTGCAAGATAGGCCCCAATCATTCTCTCTGTAGCAGCATCAGCTGCACGCATGTATAAGGCAAAACACCGTATTGCTAGGTATCTGATAGCCTGGTCTCGATGCTGAAATAGGGACTGGAGTTGTGATGGCGATACAGTCGTCGAGAAGACATCAAGGTCATAGGACAAAAGTCGGAATATAGCGAGGAGTAGCGTGTGGAGCGTAGCATCTTCCAGTTGAAAGGTACTTTGTTCTTTCGATACAGCCAAAGCCGAAAGAGGTCCAGCCCACGAGGCGGCATATTGACTGGCAAAAGATCGCAGATATGGCGCAAACGGTAAGATACGTGCAAAGGCGGAAATTATTTGGAAATTATCGACATGAAGATCTGATGTGAGCCATCGCGCTGCCAGATCAACAAATATCGGTTCGTATATGCTGAAAAGACTTTCTGTGCATTTCGACCTCAATGCGCTAACAGCGAGCGCATTCAGGAACTGAGTCCCAGAAGCAGTACGAATGAGTTCCGCAAGCTCATTCGGAAGCTGCTCAAGTATCTGGGACTCACTAAGAAGCCTCTCATAGACAGGATTTTCATTCATTATGAACCCTGCCGCCAGAGGAACTCCAGTGATATGGAACGAATGGACAAAAAATTTGTAGTAGTACGATATTATTTTACGGAAGAAAATGGCCGTCTTTTTCACCGCCTGCCCCCGTGGTAGCAAACGCTTGTCCATGAAAAGTAGGCGGTGTTTAATAAAATACTTGGCAATGGTCAATAGTCTGGCGTTCGGCTTCCAGGTAACTGACTGAGGCCTCTAGCAGTCACACCAATCAATTATGGCTTTTATTTTTACCCTAGCCATTACAGAACATAAGGCAGAATCAGATACTAGTGGTGGTTTTAAGGAACCTCCTTTAGGTTGATCTGGTACAAAGCCTGTAATCGAAGCTCAGATTCTTTGTTTTCCTCGATTACCTAGGTACTCCGTAGTTTAAGGGGAGTAGGGTGTGTTCACCGCCTTTGGCCATACGTAGTCTGCGCCACATCTGCATATCGAGGACTTGTTTGATCGCGGCCCGAGTTTCGGATTGCTGAATATCTGATAGGGGCGATGTTACAGCTGCGATGTGGACATGATATGCTTCCGTGATTCGACATGTCAACAACGATTTCAGGGTCAGAAGCCGGAAGACCGTCCTCATCTGCGCAGGTCTACGACCACTCATCGAACCTAGATAACGATTCCCGCCGGGATCATTCCAATGAATCGCTGGCTGGAGGCCTAACTGAACCGTGAGGCTTACGGCTTTTAAACCCTGCGCATATTCTGACTGACCTGATTTGTAGAATTTCTTTCAAGCGCAAGCAAAAGCAACCTGCGACGTTCAGTTTTTCGCGCCTGTTTTCCAGTGCTGAGCCCGAATCTACGATCCCTTTCCGGGCGACGAACACAAGGAACGAGCAGACGCCGGAGATTAATCCGTCCTTGAGCCAGCCGAGAGCGCGAAATGGGAACGGAAATCTTAACGCACCAAAAGACGGAGGGTTCTTGGATTGGTATGTGGAAGGGCCGGGGCGCCGAGTAGGCTACGACGATCTTACAGCCATTGATTGGATCTTTGAATATACAAAAGAGCGACAAAGAAAGAGACTTCTCTACTCGAGCGCGCCAGGTCTTGCAGGGTATGCCCGCAGGTTACTGGAGGCCAGTAATGTATGGGTGGTTTTAATTGCGACAGGAGTTCTCGTTGGTATTATTGCGGCTTGCATCGACATCACGAGCGACTGGCTAGGAGATCTGAAAACGGGCTATTGCAAGAATGGACCAGGAGGGGGCAAGTTCTATCTGAATCGAAGTTTTTGTTGCTGGGGTCATGACGGTAAGGTATTTGTTCTCAGCAGTGCTCGTCTGCAACTGACGCGGCATATCAATCAGACGTATCTGAGTGCTTGGATTGGACACCCTGGCGTAAAGCTCTTGGAGTTCGTTCCCCCAGCGGAGGTTATACGGTAGAATATATATTCTACGTCCTCTACTCTGTAATAGACTCTTTTCCTGTTTGTTCTGAAGCACTTACTGACAAACGATAGGTGGTCTTCGCTGTCTGCGCGAGTTTTCTGGTCAGAACATACGCAATATATGCAAGACACAGTGGTATCCCAGAAATTAAGACAGTACTTGGTGGCTTTGTCATTAGACATTTTATGGGACCCTGGACACTCGCGATCAAATCCCTAGGCTTAGTAGGTACCCCGTTCATTCTCCATGTCCAGCTTCTTGAATGCTTATCGAGGAAAAGTGTCTAGCAGTTGCTTCAGGGATGTGGCTAGGTAAAGAAGGCCCTCTGGTGCATGTTGCATGCTGTTGCGCCAACGTCATGATGAAGTTCTTCGATAATCTGAACCATAACGAAGGTATGTGGTCAATGCGGCATCCACCGGCTCATACTAAGTGATATAGCGAGAAAACGTGAAGTGCTCTCCGCAGCCGCGGCTGCAGGAATATCTGTCGCGTTCGGTGCACCCATTGGAGGTGTTTTATTCAGTCTCGAGGTATGCCTCAGACATTTATCGCCCACCGTCGCCTATCTAACAAAGGGTAGCAATTGTCGTATTACTTTCCCGATAAAACCATGTGGCAGAGTTTTGTCTGTGCAATGGTTGCTGCTGTAACTCTTCAAGCGCTTAACCCTTTTCGAACAGGAAATATTGTGCTCTACGAAGTTAAGTATACACGTGGATGGCATCGCTTCGAAATGATCCCTTTCATCCTCCTGGGTATCCTTGGTGGTCTGTATGGGGCCTTTCTGATCCGCTTGAACATGAAAGTCGCGAAATGGCGACGATCCCGAACTTGGTCTCGCCCAATATTAGAAGTTACGGTCATTGCTCTTCTATCTGCTCTGATCAACTTTCCGAATATCTTCATGAGAGCCCAGAATTCTGAGCTTGTCCACTCACTGTTTGCCGAATGCGGCACGGGATCCGATGATTTGTTCGGTCTTTGCAAGACTGGTGCTGCATCTGCTGGTACAATAACCCTTTTGCTCATGGCCGCACTTCTTGGCTTCTTCCTTGCCTCATTTACGTTTGGGTTGGACATACCTGCTGGTATTATTCTTCCTTCCGTTGCCATTGGTGCCTTGTACGGCCGCGCATTTGGAACGATGTTTAAGATGTGGCAAAATGCCTATCCAAATTTTTTCTTCTTCAACAGCTGCGAGCCAGATGTTCCTTGTGTGACACCGGGAATATATGCAATCGTTGGAGCGGCTTCGGCTCTAGGTGGCGCCACGCGGATGACGGTATCAATTGTTGTGATCATGTTCGAGCTCACAGGTGCCTTGACATATGTCATACCTATCATGATTGCGGTTATGTTGTCCAAATGGTGCGGTGATATCTTCGGCAAACGTGGTATTTACGAGTCTTGGATCCATCTCAAGGAATATCCCTTCCTTGACCATCGTGACGACACTACTTCCCCCGATTTACCTGCTCATAGAGTCATGACAAGGGTCGAGGACCTCACGGTCATCGTTGCCAATGGACATACTATTGATAGCCTCCGCAACCTTCTCATGGCCACCTCATATCGCGGATTCCCTGTCGTTACCGATTCTTCGAATCCTCTTCTTCTGGGCTATATCTCACGCAACGAACTATCTTATGCATTGAAATATTCCTCATCTCATGCAGATCGCGACTTGCCGGGCTCGACGCAGGTCTTCTTCGCCCATCAGCCGTTTGCAGACCCTACTGAAACCCTCGATCTTCGGCCCTGGATGGATCAAACGCCAATTACACTTAACAGTGGGACGACTTTTTTGATAGTACGACGCATGTTTCAGAGATTGGGCCTCCGCTATGTCCTCTTTGCAAACAAGGGCGTCCTTCAAGGCCTACTCACTAAGAAGGACGTTTGGTCTATCATTGACGGTGCAGAATCCCGCAAGGATAAAGGCCTAGACATTGGTTCATTGAGACAGAGAAATACGGCTGAGGAGATAGGTCTTCTTGAAAGTGATGACGGAACAAGTTTTGCCAGTTCCCTGGATAGACGTCCTTCAATTTGATCTTTGCGGAATGGACGTGGACTGTGAAATATATACCCTTGTAGATGAGGTTTTGGATATCTGCTTTGTTGTGAAATGTGACGCAACTAATGAGTGCTTGTTCACCAATTTCTTCAATATACCTTCAGTAGAAACATTATCATCTTTGTGACCTTGTGATACCTAGGCTTGTCTTGGGGGAGCCGCTGGCAATGCTGTTTATATTATTCCAGATCCCATGACGATCACCCCACATTTTCTGCCGGCAGAACAAGTCTACCGCCTGGAACCGAAGATCTTTGCTGGGGTTCAGCTATCTCTTATCGGAGACTGATCACTTTTCGTGGCAGCTGGACTAGTTGAGCTTTCTACAATTCCAGAACCGCAACCATGATGGCGGATCCGTTTGAAGTTCGTATGCGCTTCACTGCGCAGTTACAACACCTTAATGCCTCTGTGACCTCATCACAGAAGGCAGCGCATTATGCGCTGAAATACCGCGACATGGATGAGGATCTCCATTCCTGTATTTTGGAACAACTTGAAAGGGTATGTCTTTGCTGTCGTGCAGGAAACTACTCTCATTTCTGACACAATTCTGTCTAGAACAACATGAATAACCGAGCCAACATCATGTACTTCATCGAGCAATTCTGCGAAATGGCCACCAAGGAAAACCACACACCCTATGTCCGGATGATGCAAAGGGATATTCTACGCGTCGTTGATGCCGTCGTACCACCGGATGGATCAGGAGCTGCAAACGTTAAGCACGTCCGGCGTGTTCTCAACGGGCTTCAGAGTAAAGATATTCTCTCAGCCGAAACGGTAGCTGAGATCGACGCCGGGCTCAAGGAACGGGAGGCCCAGGCGGCACATCTTGACTTGGATGCTGAGGAGGAGGTTGATAATGCTGCGAAAGCGAAAGGCGGAACCCCGCGAGGCTCCAGGCCGAGTGGGATGCGCGTGGACAAGAGGCAGATCGAGCAACGGATTGAAGAAGACCGCGAACGGAATAAAAGGCTGCGCGAGAGTATGTGGACAGTCAGTGGGGATGATGGTGACGAGCATGGCAAGTTCTGGGATGAAGTCAGCGATATAGGTGAGGACGACTTCCTGGGAGCGCAGGAGGAACTTATGGAGCGCAATCAAATGATTGCTGCTCAATGATGGGGAGAATCTTAGGTCTGGGGCTGGCTATCATCCGCCTCCTTCTTGTTGCATCTAATCGGTTTTAAAAAGGTGTTGTGGAGTTTGGCAGCTATATATCCCTGGGTTTGATGCTTATATTTACAGGCGGAGTTGGTTGTATGGTAAAAGATACCTGTTGAAGTGAATTTAGAGTCCTAGTCTTCAAGGAGTCAAAGCAAACTGTATTACTACTAGTACCAGTGCCGGGTCTCCTAATTCTTGTTCAGATCTGTTGCAGTGCTTCGTTTCACTTCCTCTAGTAATGTCAGTGAGTGGAAACCCAGACGATGATTCTTGGCAGTCAGAGTCCCGCCTTCGGATCAAAGTTGCGCCGATAGATTTTATCAGT